TATATATATATATGACTTGAAAGACTTTCAGAAAGCCAGTGTAAATACTAAGGACCATTTAAAAACTTATAGACATATCTCTTTGGAAATCAGGGAATCAAGAAAATGAGAGATGGTTGAAGACTTTTGCACAGGCTGTTTAGAAGTGGGGCCAGACCACAACTCTGCTGGGGATCAGGCCTCTGTTTACCAGATATGTGTGAATCAATATTAGAATATTGACACCACTGATACCGGATCTTTATGCTCTAAAATCGATTCTAAAATCAAAATATCGATACTTTGATACTTTGTTTCAAGTAAACAAGTATCATTAACAGTAACACAGTGGAAAGTAACCACACTATTGAAACCTTGTCTGAACCATACAAGGTTGGGAGTATCAGAATCGGAAAATAAATCATTGGTATTGAACATTACTACTGTTTGTAATTAGATTTTTCTTGTGCTTTACTTTTTTGTAATGCACAATAAAATCATATTTTTAATATCTCAATCATGTGTTTGTAGGAAAACGTTTCTAGGTTGTCAACAAGCTAACATGAAGAAGGCTGTACAAAGGAGGCGAAATGTGATGCTGTCTTGTTTAAATCAACCCCCTGACACAACACAGCCAAACAGATACACCCTAAAAATATGTACACAATGATGCTAAGAAAATACATTAACAGAGGCTGCTTTCAGATTGATGGCTGGAGTCTTCTGTCTAATAATTCTGGGTAATAGATGGTGCAGTGACCGTTTTGTTCCACAGCAACTGGACCAACACAATAGATTCATTTATATGAGCCAAAGTGCCTCTTGTTAGACCTTAGCTAAGTATAAGCAGTAAAACTCCTGTTTTAATTCAGTGATACATTAGAGGAGCCTGAGAGATCTTTATTGCATATCCAAGACAGGCATGCATGCTGTTTTGAGAATTAAAGCTGTCACCAACATGAGCCTTAAATCATACTGAGGCAGTATTAAGAGACTGTATAAGAAAACCAACAAAGAATAGAAAAAGAACAATGAGAGACTCTGAGTCATTTTCTGTAAATGCAGTTACCTCCTGTTCTTATCTTTGACCTTGACTGCAATGGCATATACAGTACCACAAACATACAGTATATAGACTCTGAAATACAACATCATTTTTTTTTCATTCTGAAGACACGGAATCCATTGGTCAAGATTTAGGTCAGGGCCTGACTGTGACCAAAAATTGACCCTGGCATTTTTTGGTCAACGCAACTCACCATCTTTATTTGTACAATATACGAATGGATTCGACATACCAGAGGATGTATTTGAATGTTGTGCTGTTTCACAAGTTAAAGTGCAGTAGCCTACACGATGGTAACAGAGACTGAACTCAATGTTATCTGAAATTGTCAGTAAAAATCTTTTTCTTTACCTAGTGAGATATTGTAAAATTTTTCAATCCGACCTAAACAGTAGGCTCATTCAGAAGTCTCGCGGAAGCAGAGTGGGGTGACAGAAATACTCACGTCTGCCACACCTCTGAACCTCTAATCTAGGTAGTGACAGACGCAATACAGTCAACTCCTGAGAAAGTGTGCCGGCATACAGTAGTTCTAACTGACTCCTTTGGGAACCAATCAGCCGCTGGTATCTTAAATCAAACAACAGATTGCTGTTTCTTTTGTTTGTTTGTTTTTTCAAGCCCAGCAAGTTCCACTTCATTTACATGCACAGAGTTGGGTAGTAACTAGTTACATTTATTCAGTTACATTTACTTAAGTAACTTTTTCGGGGAAAATGTACTTTAAGGAGTATTTTTACCACCCTGCACTTTTTACTTTTACTTGAGTAACTTTCTTATGAAGTATTACTACTCTTACTAGAGTAAATTTTTTGGGTACTCTACTCACTGCGTGTGACTTTACTGACTGAAGAAAATGCTTGTTTTCATCAAAAAATTACCGGACACGGCATTTTTTGTTATTTTCATAAATTTTATATTGAAAGAAAATGATTTGTAAAAAAATTTGTTTTGCCAGACATTGTTTATTTTGAAACGTAAACATTTAAAATATATACATTTTGTTCTCTGAAATATAACAAGGGCGAGTCCTGTGACTCTGCAGCAGCCTGGGTGACAGCAGCATGTTACGGCTGGTTTATACTTCTTGTCGCACGTCTTTTACTCCCCGCTGAGTGAAAAAAAGTTGCGCAACTTCCGTCTGCACTCCCGCTGCTATCCCCCGGTGACAGCTGTCCGATACATTGCCCCCAGTCAGCACTCCGAGATGCAGAGGTTGCGGCTCGGCGCGTGCGATTGGTTCAAAGTTTGTGGGCATTTTTGTTTGGTGTATCACTCCGCTACCCGGTACTCACTTCCAGAGGCCGGTTTTTGTTTGTAAACATGGATAGTTTTGATGAGAAACTCGCCGAGGCGGTCCGGAGGTACAAACATCTGTATGACTTCTCTACTGCGGAGTACGAGTAATGCTAAATGGCAAAAAATTCATGGAGGGAGATAGCAGAAATGTTGCAAACAGAGGAGGCTGTCTGCCGCAAATGGTGGGGACTCTCTGTGACCGGTTTGCAAAGACCAAACAGAGAATGCAGGTCCGGAGCGGGGATCCTGGCGGGACCAATCCAGTTCCTCGTTGTTTCTTTTTTGCCTATTTTTTTTTTTTTGCTGGAAACGTACATTAAACACCGGGGGACAACAACAAACATGACAACATCCGACACAACGGACTCACAAATCGAGGTAATAAAACACCCTCGCTAGCTTACTTTTTTAGAGAAAATGAAGTGATTTATTACAGAAGCTTAAATATAAAATCACGCTTGTGTTGCTTGACGTCTGCGGTGGGAGGGCAGAGGGACGGATTACTATAATGTATCCCCCACGTCTTTTCCAAGTATAAACACTCAATGCAGTCGATGACACAAACGCAATTACGTCATCGCTGGGCCGCAGCCGCACGTCTTGCGTGAAGTATAAACAAACCTAAGGGACTTACAATGAAGGTAATGTCCACACATGTACCTCACATAGCAAATTCTGATCCAGTTATCAAACCCAAAAACTTGGCCCAGATACCACAAAGATTGACGGCTTTTTGGTGGCCCAGATGTGGTTTGCCAGAGATGGTCCATGCTGAGCCAGCACCATATGAACCAAAACACAACATGGCCAGTAGTGGCATGCCATCTTAAACACTATGCCATCATTGCCAGACCTGGTCCACATCTGGTTGACAAACCACCTGCGATGCCAGCAATCATCCAGCAGTACCAGCTTGACATCGGATGTGGCCAACACCTGTCAGCTATATGGGTCCCAGTTGTAAATCTAAAACTAGAAAACTCCATCACAAGCTTTCAGCAAAATCTATTACCCAGCAGACAAAACACCCCCCCACCCCGACCCCTGTATCCATGTTTTTTTCTGTACCTTCAGAGTGGTGGGAGAGGGTGAGTAGACTGACACAGGAAGCTCCAATTCCAGAACCAAAGACTGTGATACGGTTGGAATCTCCTCCAAAGAAGCCGATGTTCTCACTAATCCACCTTAATGCCTGGATCTGGTCCAAGAGCCCATAGTTCCCTTTAGCAGCCTGGTCACCTGTACTAAGAAAGCCTGTAAAGCAAAAACAAGATGAGAAAAATAAGCAATTTAACAGTAAAATACAATGACTGCATTGCTAAATTGGGAAAAAAAGGTATTTGATTTGACAATAGAAAACATCAAAAGGTCATCTGCAACGGATGACCTCATCCTCATTTCGTGATAGAAGCCATCATGCCAGGTGACAGCTGCAGTGAAATCTTGACTTATTATACGACAAGGCTGTTGGTAAAATAGACCACATGTCATCTGCACCTTGCGGAAAATCAATGACCTGTCTCCCCAGGTGAACACCAACCATAAATTACCGAGCATTGGGGCATTGTTCAGCATTGTTTGACAAGAAACTTGCATATCTGTGGAAACTTCATGGACAAAGTGAAGAAAATAATTTGATAATGAGATTTAGAGTCATTTTCAATATCTTCCCCTGACATGTTTCAAATCTCTCTAACACTTGTTCGACATTTTCAGCTCAAACATTTGTATCCCCACCCCTCCATGTCACTAAAATCTGCGAAATGAGGTCTGAGTTGGAAAAGTGARCGTCTCCTGGGTACATCAGCGCTCGTGTTAACATGCCACCCTTTCCAGTTTGCTCTCTGGGGCCAAAACCCTGCTGAATGATGGGTAATCGAGAGTCGTGGGAGAAGATCAAAGGCAACCAATCCCAAAAGTCCCTTTGGTGGACTCTGTGTCTGTCAAAGCCCCCGGCATGCATGTGAGGTGACAGCTCAGAGACGTGTGGAAACCAACACCCAATACTCTTTCACAAGCAATAAATGTGTTGATGGTAGATGTTTAAAGGCCTCCAGTGATGGTCCTTTGGAGTGCTAGCTCTGCCGCTAATGTCTATTTCATGCTCCATGCCTTCATGTAATAATGAACTCTGTTTTCAAGTCTGTAGGGAGAGGCAAACCATTAACAGCAAAAAACATATGAAAAAATGAGTAATTTGTGTGTTTTTACTGATTTCACTGCTCAATTAAAATAAAATTTGGAAGTAGCTATTTTTTAGGGTCAACAGTTGTTTATGTCATGTTTATGGTAAAAAAAAACATTCATGTCTCATAATGCTCCACACAATTAGCTAAAAAAGCAACAGAGAGATGTGGTGTTTATTAAAAGCACAGTTGAGGTCAATGACCAGACATATTCAATGTCTGGTGATGGATCTTCAAAACTGAAACATCAGGGAAAATACATATGATCATTATGCAGCTCATCTGAAGTGATTTTTTTTGGACAGCTGCCTGCACCTTTTAGACATGGGTTCAATCTGCAACTCATTTTTCAGAGTAAAACACAAGTTTCTTCAAATCCATAAACACACGTTATTCAAGTCTGCTCTGCAAGTGTCCATTGTCTTAAGTGGCAAACAAACCGGCATCTAGAGATTGTATTGGTTTGAATTAAATAAAATGAAAAAATTAACTACATTTTTTAAAGCTAATTCAAATGTAATGCTACATAACACATTGTGATGGTACATACGTAGGGATCCAGCACAGGTGATCAGTGGCAAGAAAGTCTTGTTGAAAGTAACCAAAGCTAAGTAAGAATGACTAATTTTACTTGATAACAGCTTTAACGCCTGACTGTTTCAAACCAGCAGGCGTAAAAATGTGATCTATAAAAACAGTGAAGAGTGAGACAAGGAAAGCCAAAAGGGCAATGGTTTTAAAAACACCCTCTGACATAAAAAAATGTTAAATACGTCAGCAGGCATTTAATGAGTTCAGTTAACTGAGAAGCTTGTTGTGAGTGTTTAACATTTTAAATATTTTGTATTTTGGCATCAGGAGATAGTACAGTATTTAGCTCTGGATCATCTGGCATTTCGCATCAAGTCACGATTATATGAAAACCAAAACGTACATGTACATATTATTTGTTCGATGACTTTTGCTGTAAATTTGTGCAAATAACATAAACTGAACTGAAAAAACTCATAATATGTTATCTACACTGTAAAAAATTGTTAGATTTACTAGAGAAAACCCTGTAAACGATATGCACTAAGGTTTGTTAAGTAAATTTAAATGCTACAAATTCAAGTAATATTTACTCATCATTATCTAGTAAAAGTTACTAAGAATACCATTAAAGACTTGTGAACGATATGCACTAAGGTTTGTTAAGTAAATTTAAATGCTACAAATTCAAGTAATATTTACTCATCATTATCTAGTAAAAGTTACTAAGAATACCGTTAAAGACTTGTGAATAAATCAGGTAAATTTTACTTAATTTGCTAAATTAAATCTTTTAACATATACTTGATCAAATCAAGTAAAATTTACCTGATTTATTCACAAATCTTTAACTACAATGATGAGTTAATATTACATGAATTTGTAGCACTTAAATTTACTTAACAAAAGTAAGTGCAAATCGTTTACAGGATTTTTTTCTAGTAAATCTTACAGGTTCTTTATAACAGTGCACATGCGTCAAGCACAATATTGTAGCATGACACCTCACANCTTTATAACAGTGCACATGCGTCAAGCACAATATTGTAGCATGACACCTCACAGCTACAGAGAAGTGTAGCTCTTGTTGTAGTTCAAGACTTCACCACCAGKTGGCAGTTTTGAAGAACGTTTATTGGATTCTTCTTCATGAACAACACATACAAAGTGAAACTCACAGGTCTCATTAATAACTAGGCCTACTACACTCACTTATCATTACTTCTGCTGAAAGGTTTAACACAAGTTGACAAATAATGAACACACAAATTAGAGTAACACAACAGGCTAATTGCTGAAAGAACAATGTTAACCAATTCCCTAAAATGATTTAACAACAACAAACATGAATCCTACCCACAATCCTCCACTGCAGTCACATGACAAACACAGCTGAATGCTACAATATGCATTCCCTGTTCCCTGACAACTAAATATCACCTACATTATGCCATCAAACTATTGCACACTAACAAATGTGTTCAAGCAAAAGAAACCAGACAACTTGTGTTTTATTTCGACCATGTCTTGTCCTCTCCTTGAAAAGTGAAGCAAGGGAATGAGGAGCAGCAGCCTTTGTGTGTGCATGCGCCCTCAGTTTTAGCCCAGAAGAGTAGAAGTTACTTAATATATTCATGTTTATGTGCTGTCCAGAAAAAGCACTAACATATTACTGGTAAAATAATATTGGCATTTACATTTTTGTACAGTAATATTGATATATAATATAATGCATATTGTTTATTTAGTAAATTCTAGTAGTTTAGAAATTTGTATATATTTTTTGTAAAATTTAATAGAATAATTAAATAAATGTTACTACACCCAAAAATCCTTTTTCAGTGTACAAGTCTCAGGTTCGAGTTTGCCCTTGGCACGGTTTGAGATCATTAATCAAGTTTTGACAGTAAGACTATTTCTTTAGGTTTATAAATAGATCATGGTTTGGGGTAAATTTCTTCCTATAGTAGAGGTCAAGAACACACAATGTCTTGATGGACTTAATTAGGCATTTTCATTCTCCCATGCATCTCCTTTGGGGAATGTCTTAAAAATTAGACCGTGCGTGAGTAAAAGAAAACATGGAAAATCTCAAAGTTATTTACTCATTAGGCAAATATGGGCATAACCCCGAACAGTAAAGCACCCTCGTCCCCGAAGGGTCTGTTGGTACTAACAAAAAGGGTAGGCAGGGGAAAAGGCCAGACCTGATTGTTGATAATAGAGGGGTCGTGGCACAGGAAGCAAAGCAGGAGACAAATGGATCAACAGATGGTCTCCTTCAGATGCATCCCTGAGGATGACAGAGTGGCAGGGCACATGCAGAGAGCGAGGGAGAGTTTCTGAACGAGACAGGCAGAGGAAGAGAGGCAGACACAGACAGAAAGCAGAGAAAGGAGGGCTTCGGCTGAAGAGTGTTCTCTTTCTTATCTCGCGGCTCCTCCTCGCCTTCCATCGTAACCAAAGGACAACAGCTTTTACAGTCTTCTCCGGGGTGCATGGGAGAGGGAGTCAGAGGAGACGTGACACTCCCAGAATAGCCCTCGTTTGCAAAACACTTCACACTTCACCAACTATATATCAGATGGGCTGAGAAGTGCTATGAGACAGACGTAAAGGGAATTCTGGACAACTGTTTGCCTAATTGAAAAGATACTGCAAACACTGTCCATTTGTGTTTGTGTTATTTGGGATTACTAGACGGCAAAAATGTAAATGATTATAGTTGGGCCTGTGTGTGCCACATTAAATATCGCCCAGTTTTACAGTTTTCTGTCATGCGTTTGTGTTTTGCTTCTTTATAAAAACATTGGTCATTAGGATGTGGAAGCAGCATCCAGCATCTTTAATAAGACATGCTGCAGGGAGCATTTAAAAATACATTTGCCATAGCTTGTGGTTATGTTTTAATTGGAAAMGTGACAGAGAGTATTTGCTTTGGAAACCAATTAAGATAGTAAAGTAATTGTTTTTGTGCATTGCTRTGTCTATTTTTTACATTCACGGGGCTTCTTTTGTCTTGACACACTAGCGCTGGATGCTTGGGGAAATAATCACCTGGCCAACACCTCCAGACTTTTAGTTTAAAGCTAAGGATTAGTAATATTTTTCTTTTTTTGAAAAATGTTGACACRAGCCACTAAGGTTCACTTTGACTATGTTCACACTGCAAGTMTTAATGATCAATTACAATTTTTTGCATAAAAATGATTATTTTGCACAGACATTCATGTTATATTTGAAATGTGATCTCTGTCAGACTCCAGTGTGAGCTCTCCAAGGCTCTGATGTGACCTGCATGTGCAGAAAATCATGTGTCGCATTCAGCTCGYTGTTTACAGAAGTAGGCTAAACATGCTACTTGTTAGCATGTTSACTCTGAAGTTGTGCTATCAGAGCCAATTTAACAACTACCTGATAGGCTTGTTTAGTTCACTATTTACATTTGAGCCATCCTCTGATGCAGCCGTTTATTTTTGAAATAGGAGCGATGTTCAGGAAGTAAAGTATCAATCCAGTAACTTCAGTATGGATTAG